CCCCCCCCGCCCCCCGCCCCAAGAATGTCAGGCAATCTGAGAGCAGGCTGTTCACCTGTCATTCAGGGTACCCCCAAAAGACAGGCCCTCCAGACAGGGTAGTACACGCATTACATGCGTGAATATGCTTGCCATAATCTTCCAAGTGCTTTGTTGCAGAGCCTTTGAATACCCACAAGTGCAACAACATTCATTCTGTAATAATTGTAATAATAACAATAATAACACCAACAATAACAACACCAACAATAATAACAATAACAACAATAACACCACCACCACCACCAACAACAATAATAATAACAATAACACCCTGATTCTACAAAATAACACCCTACTTGGAAGAGCTTATATCCTCCGACTCTACCTTAACAGCTCCTAGGTCCTTGGTTAGGACTTGAACTGTTGAGCTATCAACCAGCCCCAAAGGCTGTGAATCTCACCAAAGATTTAATAATAATAATAATAGTAGTAGTAGTAGTAGTAGTAGTAGTAGTAGTAGTAATGTCTACTGGGATTGGCCTAGAGCAACTTGGCACCTTTAAGACTTGTGGACTTCAACTCCCAGAATTCTCCAGCCAGCATAGCATAGAGAATTCTGGGAGTTGAAGTCCACAGGTCTTAAAGGTGCCAAGTTTGGGGTCCCCTGGCCTAGTGTGCGTTATTTCTGTCCCTCTTAACATGATCGATCCATTCTGTCCCATCTTCTCTAGCGATCCGAAAAGGCAACTGGACTCTCTCGGTTTTGTTCTTTGAAAACGTTTCACTTCTCATCCAAGAAGCTTCTTTAGTTCCTCAGGACAAAACGGAAGAAGCTTCTCGGATGGGAAGCGAAATGTTTCCAAAGGAAGCCCAGTTTGCCTTTTGGAAGCACCAGGACCTGGGTGGTTGAGAATCTCTCTAGCAATTGGCCTCCGTGGGCAATTCCCGTCAGACATGGGCCTTTCCCGATCCCCCCTGAACGAAATTCCCACCTGAGATCCCTGGAGGATCTGCTGCTGTTGTTTTTGGGCTGGCATGGATAACTGGCCCTTTGCTTCTCCTTTTCTTTCTTTTTTTAAAGTCTCCTGTGAGAAGCTCTTTCGATTCAGCTCGGCTGACAAGCCTGACTGTGATTAAGATGCTTAAGACTGTGGTGTCTCAACCCACGGAGCAATCCTTTTGATGGGATCATCTCCGTGGGGGAAGCGGGGGATTTTGGAAAAGTCAAAATGGTTTCTGTCACCGGGGGATCAAAGCCATGAACTTCGATGGTGCCAATTGCAGCCTCTGCACTGACCTTTTTTGATGCCCCCTCACTCTATTTCAGGGGTCCCCAAACTTGGCCACTTTAAGACTTGTGGATTTCAACTCTCAGAATTCTCCAGCTAGCTATGGTGGAGGAAAATACTGCCAGCATCCTTCTTGGATATGATACAGGAATTAAACTTGTCAGATCAGTGGAGGAGATTAAACCCTGAAAACTGAATATACTTTTTGTTTGGATCCATATCAGTCATGGTCCTGATTAGACACGGTATGGATGACTGTAGGAATAGGAAACAAGCTAGAAACAGTAGAAATTATGACAACTGTATAAGCAGACCATAACCCCCTAAAGATAATTTGGAAAGGAAGGAAAAAAACAAGGAGAAGATGGACATTGAACTCCCAAATTGTAAAAGAAAAAGAATAGGTGTTAAAAATTTAAAAAGTCACGGAACTATTCTTTAAGGAAAATGCAAATCAACAAACATCACTGCAGGTACTATGGGACACAACTGAAGCATATTTAAGGGGAATAACGATAGCTTATACGGCAAAAAGAAATAAGAAAAAACAACAGCAACAAACTAGGTTACAGGAGGAGATTAAAAAGTTAGCTTACAAAGAACACCACAAGATGCGGAAGTAAAGGGGAAAATGGTCTTAGCCAAACCTAAATTAAATGTGATAGATCGGGACGAAAGGCCAAAGGACCTGACAATGGCAAAACAATTTCTTTGAATATGCCAACAAACCAGGGAGAGGGTTAGCCTGTAAATTAAAATTTGAAGTCCACAACTCGTAAAGTGGCCAAGTTTGGAGACCTCTGCTCTAGTTCGTCACTTCCTAACCGGAGCAAGCTGGGCATTGATGGAGCCGCCTCCTACGCACGCTCTTCTTTGGATGGGTTGAGGAGGGGGCTGCCTTTCCATCTCTCTTCCCCGTTGAAGGGCGGGCTTCCTGACTCGGAGGGCCGAGCGCTGCAGCCACGGGTGTCCGTGCAGGGCGCGCTCTGGGGCTGCACCGCCAACGTCTTGATGACGCGCTCTCTACGGTGTTGCAGGCAAGGACAAGAAGGGCACCTGCAGCCTCTCCCGCATGGACAGCACCACCTGCCTCTTTCCCGTGGAGGAGAAAGCCGTGGAGTACTACTTCGCCTCGGATGCCAGGTGGGCGGCAGGTGTGGAGGGCGCCAGAGAGGTTTCCCAAAGGAGGGACCGGTGCCCTTGAGCGTGGCACGCTGGGTTGAACCCTCACTTCCCGGAGGGAGGCTACGGCGCCAGCCGTGAAAGAGATCCTGTAGCCTTTCCAAAGACATCTAGCTAGGGGTGGGGCCGCTGGGGGCTCGCAGGGGTTCAGGAGAGCCCCCCTAGCTGAGATTCTGCGCAGTTCGGAGCAACCCCCGAAATCCCACTCCTGGCTGGCCCCGCCCACCCCTCCCTCCCCCTCCCCGGAGGGTCCCCACGTGGCCCATTTTGGATGCAGGGCAAAAAATGGGCCTCCCAGAAGTTTGGGAAGGCTGGAAATGGGCCCAGAGAGCCTCCGGAGCCTGGGGAGGCTGTTTTTGCCCTCCCGGAGGCTCGAGGAAAGCCTCGGGAGTCCGGGAAGGACAAAATGCCCCCCCCCCGGGCATGGTGCAGGAGGCAATTAGGCCACACCCACCATGGCCACGCCCACCCAGCAGCCAGAGAACCCATTGCTGAAGTTTTTACCCCTGCATCGAGCCATTGACCTGTGACCACAACTGAACCCAAAATCTTTGTTCCCAATCAAGATGGTTGTTAGGTGAATTTTGGCCCCCTTTAAGACCTTTCTCGCCATTGTAGTTGTTAAGTTGGTAACGCCGTTCTTAAGTGAGTCTGGCTTCCCCATATGGAGTTTGCATTAGGTAACATTGCACTGAATTCCTTGGAGAGGCAGAACAAGTAGAAAACGCAGCTGTCGGAAAGTCCCTTTCAGTAAAATAACCAAGTTTAGGTGAACGTCAAAGTCTTTATCATCGATGGTTCTCCTTCATAACTCACCCTTCTTTTCATTCACGGGAATTTAAGTGAAACGTTTGAGTATCCCTTTACTTTGGTAGGCAAGCTTGATATAAGGAGTAGAAATAACGGTATAAGTTCTCTAGATCTCCCTTGGTTTTGGCATCATTTTTTAGGGGCGGGAGGGATCCTCTTTTTCCTCCTCACATGGGTGTCCCATTCTAAATCTGTTTATGGCAGGGCCCCCCAACCTGGGCCACTTTAAGACTTGTGGACTTCAACTCCCAGAATTCCTCCTCCAGTCAGGTTAGCTCAGGGAGTTGAAGTCCACAAGTCTTAAAGTGACCAAGTTTGAAGACCCTTGTGATAGATGATATAGATAGATGATATAGATAGATATAGATAGATAGATAGATAGATAGATAGATAGATAGATAGATAGATAGATAGATA